CTGGGCTTTTCTGGCCTTGAATCCTGATGACTGTACCAACCTTGGTACCTCTGTGCTGGACCTAACATAGGATTCGAATTGAAGAGCTCTGGCCATTGCCTGCATAGTAGAAGGGGTGCTTGCTTTACTTTAGTTGTGGACTGTCCAAGGCATCTACAAACTGATTCCTCAGCAACAACTTGAGGACATCGGGTGGGGCAGTTGGGTAGGCCTTGTATGCCATACTTTCCAAATCCTGTGCCAGCTCTTGCTTACTTGGACAGTTGACAGCAGCCGACAGACACAACTATAGAGCACTGGTAGAGGCTCTGGAACTCAGGTACGGAACCCAGAATCAGTCAGAAGTCTACAGGGCTAGGTTTAGGACGAGAATCCGTGCTAAAGGGGAGAGCCGCTTGAAGGGACAACCACTGGAAATCGTTGCCAGATATACAGCTTTCTGCTCCTCTGTCCATCCATTTATTTCTGCCAGTAACTCAAACTGTGCTCTATATGCTTCCCACGGTGCCTTTCCATCGAATTCCTGTGGCTTCCTTCGCACTGGATCACTCCTATTACTGACATTCATATCTGGGATGTGACTTCTAACGGGACTGAATATGTCTGCATTAGGGTTTAGCTACGGGCTCTGTAAGGGGCTTGCCATTGTCTGGGGCTGATTAAGTCGATGGTCAATGTATCCTCCTTGTGTAAAAGACAATAGATCGTCCTTTAACGTATCTAATTCGCTTTTAAATTTACTAATGTTTTCCATTTGTACTTCTTGTTTCCTTTCTTGTTCCAGTTGCCACTGCTGTAGTCTCTCTTATTGTTTCTTTTCTCGTTCTTATTATTTCTTTTCTTTCTCCTCTAACAACTGCTGTAATTTCTCTACTTGTTTATTTTCTTTCTCCTCCAACAACTCCTCCCGTTTCTCGAGATCTGCAATAAAATTAACAACTTTCATTATATTATGTTGGTACATTTCCTTAAAATTAGCTTCAATAACAAATATACCTACAGAAGTATATTGTACGGATCAAATTGTAGAAATTCCCTAAATATTTGTTTTCTTGCATATTTACTTCGCAAGTTAACATAACTTTCATAAACAATGAATTTAATCTCCTTCAAATCAGAATGATTACAATAATAATAATCATAAAAATTTATAAGTACATTAGAGTTGAAATACTATTTTTTGCTGATTGTAGGAATTTTCTATCCTACAGTGTATACTCGGGACTAAATGTAGACCTTTAAATAACGTGGAAAATAATTGTTAGATAATTTAAACAAAAAGTATAATTACATGTTGCTATGATCTGAAAATAAGCTAAAAAACAAACACTGTGAGACAAATGATAGTATCTTCAGTAAAAGAAGAAACTTACATTCTCAGGCAAACTTGATTTTTTCCCGCAAGCTGCTTGAAAGCTTGCAAACAACAACAAAGAAATAATATAAAATGGGCTGTTGGTCTGGAAGGTTAAATTTCTTGAAGTATTTCTACATTTAAAATGACAATAAAAAATCTACAAATAAAATTACTTCATTGAGCAACGACTTTCTGTTCAATGCAACTGACTGGGTTCTTCAAATGTAATTTTTTTTTTATATTTCCATTGACTAGTATAGTTTGTTTCTATATGATAACTAATAAATATCAAAATATTCAAGTAGTTTACTGAATATGAATAATTTGCGTAAATATTACAGTAGATGGCACTTTAATTTTTGAAAGATAGTTAATTTGCGGTAAACAAAACTTTGCAACTCTATCGGAAAAGTAGCTGATTGTTAAAAAATATATATATTACTTAGATATATGACATGAGCGAAAATCCGAACACCAAGTTAATTTGTTGATGTATGGATTAGCTGAGACTTCGTAGAATTTTGTTGAATGATAAAAATACCTTGCAGCATCATTTGTGGATGAATTCAGCCTCAGGTCTAACTTCTAGTTCTACTAAGTTCTAGTTGTAATACTAATAAGTTAAATTGGTTTACCCTACTTTTGTTACTTCGTCGTCAGGGGCAGCAGTAGCTTAACTTGTTAAGCCTAGCTTGCTTAGTTAACTGTTGAATATTTTTTTTATTTAAGTTAAAAATGTGATTGACATTATTAACCACTGTAAAATTTTAATAATAATAGTTAAAAACTGGTGAATTAAGGTGAGAATCTGACTCGTTTCACTGCCAGTTCCACATGTTTGAACGGTAAGTGCTAAAATTGAGCAGATTTTGAATTATAATAATAATATCTAATCATTTAGATAACTGATTTTTTTTGCAATAATGGTAAGCAATTGCAAAGTGCAAGGGTAATGCAAAAGTCACAAAAATGACAAATATTGAACTACTGAATGTAAACATAAGTGAAAATGAATATAGTTTTTGTGCTGACTATAACCTAGTAAGGGATAATTCACATTTATTTCCTCTAATACTAATTTAGTATGTCATGGTTTAATAAATATCTTTAAACTTTCGATTTAGTAATTCAACTGACTATATGTGAGATTGAAAGTATTTGTAGTACCTCTTGGTGTTGATAAGTTGTGTGTACAGTAACCATATTAAAAAGTTTTTAGTGTTAGAAAATCTCTATCATCATACTGCTGTACTGAGGTTTCACACTTGGCTATATGTTATCCTGTTTTATACTGTTATTACAGGTTTCATACTGTATTTAATTTTTAAAAAAATGTGTAATTAATGTACTTTATAGATTATATATAAATTACCAACACAGTGAGAGGACTTGATATACCTTCTCTTTTAGAATCAGTTAACTTAATGGAAAATATAGTTTTTAAATCGATATTGACTTTTGATAGAAATTACATGCATGGTAAATAAATATTGTGAGGAAATTTGTTGTGGTTAATAAGGACAAATTAATAATTCAAATAAGCTTGTGATTAAACAACCACAAAAAAACTCATGATTCACCCAGAAACCACTCATCTTGGTCTGGGATCATATGTATAATAGTAAAATCAATAGCATTTGAAAAGTCTGAATCGATCGTCGTGTTAAATAATGGTGGAAGAAAGAAATACTGTATAACTGATCATAATATTTCAGTATAGTAGAAATGGTATTCTGTATTTAATGGTGAACTTGAAATAAACCTATTTAGTACTGTTGTTGTATGCATAGTTCACAAGCATGGTAAGAGAACATGACAGTAGTTGTTGCACTGAATCATCTGATAAATCTCCGTGCTGTTTCGTTAATTTGGATAACAGCTTACTATGGCTAGGTTACAAGTGCCACCTTTCTGATGTATTTGTAATTTTTTATGGTGTATTGGTAACTTGTTCACAATGGAAATATGCCTAACTTTGTAATAGTAAGCTGTGCATTTAACATCTAGTTAAGTATAATTTATTTTAAGCCTTTTGCTCTTGTTTCTTTTTTAGAGTTTTTCTGGATAAAACAGTTGTCCCCATTTAATATCAAGTGATCAGTGTTATTATTTTTTACAGACTGAGAAATGTAATCAGCATTATTATTATTGTAAATTATAAACATTATGTTTGATAAAGAACTGATTATTTCATGTTAACTTTATCTTTTTTTATATTTCATATTAAATAACAAATTTCAGTCTTTAGCTTGTGCAGAGGAAGGGAAGGAAAACAGAAGGGACAGGTAGGGATGGAAATGAAAAACACGAGGTTATTGTTACAGGTGATTTTTTTAGTACAACAAATGAACAGGATAGTCTGTATGGTAAATAGGGTGAAAAGAATTAGTTAATGTTATCCAGGGGCCGGGGTGGAGGATATAACTGATAGAGCAAGAGATATAGTAAAGGTTGCTAGCAGTGTTGCACTTGGGGACTGTTGATGTAGGGACAATAGATCAGGGGAGCTAATTGATAAGTACCAGGGATTGATAAAGACATTTAAAGAAAAGGGCCAAAATTTAATTGTTGCGATGAAAGAATAAAATAACTAGGTCATAGGGCTAAACGGTAGACTTGGGTTAATATGTAAGAATAAGTAGATAGGCTGTTTGGATTTGGAAAAGGGAGTTCTCTGCAAAGTATGGTTTACATTTGATATAGGGTAAGAGATGGCTTGTTTGTGAAGGCTATTAATTCAACTGTAAGGGCAGCTTTAAAGTAGGACTAGTGAAAAGTAGTTTTAAAGGTAGGTTAAACTTATTTGTCTAATGTCATAATTAGAGCACAAGTTGGAACAGAGGATTTTAATGTAATGGGAATAACTGAAACTTGGTTAAGTGGTGGATAGATCAGTCAAACTGGATTAATGTCACAAGTGTGGTACCTCGGGGCTCAGTGTTAGGACTTTTGGAACAGAGGATTTTAATGTAATGGGAATAACTGAAACTTGGTTAAGTGGTGGATAGATCAGTCAAACTGGATTAATGTCACAAGTGTGGTACCTCGGGGCTCAGTGTTAGGACTTTTGGAACAGAGGATTTTAATGTAATGGGAATAACTGAAACTTGGTTAAGTGGTGGATAGATCAGTCAAACTGGATTAATGTCACAAGTGTGGTACCTCAGGGCTCAGTGTTAGGACTTTTGTTCTTTTTTATTTACATCAATGACATAGATGAAGGAATAGTCAATAAATTCAAATAGCTTGATTATATTAAGGTTTTTGGGTGTTGCTGGCTGTGATTGCTTTACAAAAGGATTTAGACTGTCTGGTGAGTTGGATATTTAAATGGCAGATGGTTTTTAGGCATAATAACTTGAATTACAAGAATAATATTGAGTAGGATAACCTTAATAGTATTTATTGAAGGAAAAGGAGCTTGGTGTTCTGGTTGATCAGTCTCGTAAACCATTCAAGCAGTGTGTTATTGCTCGTGGCAGATCAAATAGGGTTTTAGATTTTATTTACATAAATGATGAATAAACGTCTAAAGAGGTTATAATGTCATTTCATGTGTTACTGGTTATGCTACATTTGAAGTATTGTATTCAGTCTTGGGTTCCTCACTTTAGGAAAGAAATTTGGTTGTTGTTAGAAAGTGTTTAGAGGAGGGCTTGTACCTGGAATGGAAGGGTTATCATGTGAGAAGACTCTTCATAAAAGAAGAGTTAGAGGGGATCTGATTGAGGTTTTTAAGACTGTAAAAGGAATCGATAGTGTTGATGCATCATCTTTGTTCATACTTAACAGCAAGAATAGTAGTACTAGGAGACAAAAGTATAAATTTGAGTGCAGTAGAAGTCATCTTCAGCTAAGACAGTTTTATTTTTCAGATATGGTAGAAGTAGTAAATTTAGGGGAGTTTAAAGGAAGTATTGATAAACACTTTAATAAAAAAGTCTAGCTGTTTAAGTTTTGATTTAGTGGATGTGAAAGCCCGTGTGGACCAACACGTCCCTTGTTGTCCTTAAGTTATATGTTATTATTGGAGATCTAGATGTAATTTGTTTTATTTGATAAGCTGTAAACATATGTACACAAAAATCCCAAATTTATTATTGTTTACCTTTCAACCGATTATCCCATATTACTTTGGAATATTTTAGGCTTTCGTTTTAGATGAACACAAATTGTTGATTGAGTTGCTTACCTTTATTAATAGGTAGGCTGGGGTGCCTTAGTAGTATACATGCTGGATTGTGGATCTGAGGGTATATAGCTCAAATCTTGATGCCAAAAAACTGCAGTTCACACTTTGAGGCTGTAGGTGCATTATAAGAATGACTGTTATGTCGTACTATTCAATTACAGCAGCCCTGGAGTTGATCGTGGACACTGTCGACTAGTTGTCTTCCATCTAGTCTGTTTCAAGAACTAATGCAAATATCTAAAACAACCAAAGAAACATATTAATAGAAACTTTGTTAAATAGAAGTTTGTCATTCATGTACATTTTGGCTAATGTGTTGAAGTTATTGGGATACCAAATGACTCCTTTGGGATAGAATGTGCCTTCAAACTTTTTGTTTTCATTAAATTCTGACATTTTTGTGTTTTTTATCTGTATAATAACTAGTAGACTGTTTCTGTGCAAAAATCTTATCATGGAACATTTTACCTTTTTTTTATTACAATTATGAATTTTATGTTTATTTTCTAGAGGTATTTCTTGTATGTGTTTGTTTCATGAATTTCCAGTACACAGATGACTAGCTAGCAATATATGTCAAAAAGTAGGCCTAAGACAAGTGTGTGAAACATTATGTCAATGCACTAGTCAGATGAAATGTATATATTTATTTCAGTACTTCCAAACCTTTACCAATTAGTTCTGATCCCAAAATTTTCTGATATTTTAAAATTACATTAAAAAACAGTATACATCAGTAGCTGTATTTTAAAACACACACATTTTTTATTTAACTATGTTGTGAATTATATAAAATTTCCCTGTGGACTGGCAGTGGTCGAGATGTTGGCACTTGACATTCACTAGTTTTTTTTTATCATTGTTCAGATAATAACATGTGTACACTTTGTACTAATTACAATTTTTATATTTTCTGCTATTGGCAGTTCAATTTCAATTTTTTTTACCAAATTTTTACTATTTCAATGATACTTAGATGTTAATAAAACAAGTTTCTGTATTCGTCTTTAGATTCACATGCCTTAACTGCTTCATACCTTCCATTAAACTGTTGAATGTAACAGAAAAGGTGGTGTTGAAAACTGGTACTCTAAATTTAGCAAAGATTTGTTAATTTTTTTTTACCAGATTTCAATGATAATAAGGCATATATATATATAAAATAGTTGTGTTAGATGATAATCTGTATATATGTAACAATGTGTGATTATTATAAGCTGATTTAAAACTTGTGTGGATATTTCATCCCCGATGAATACAGTTCATCCTTATGTTTTATTTTATTTGATCTTTATGAGGGGTAACCATGACGAATCAATTATCTTTCTCTTTCCTTACCTTATCTTATTAGTTAACCTGCAAACTAGAAAAAAGATGCATAAAAATAGATTTGTTGGTGTTTTCTGTTAAAAGCAGGCACCCATCATAGGTGTACTTTATAGGGAGGGTGGCATTTAAACTTTAAGGTTATTCAAGTCAAATAAGGTACATTTGGGTAATATTACAATAACTGTGTTTAAGTCATGATTTATCAGAAAACAAAATAAGGAAATAATATTTAAATCACTAAAAATACAGTCTACATTAATTTGTAGAAATACAGTCTACATTAATTTGTAGAAATACAGTCTACATTAATTTGTAGAAATACAG